TATATATATATATATATATATATATATATATATATATATATATATATATATATATATATATATATATATATATATATATATATATATATATATATATATATATATATATATATATATATATATATATATATATATATATATATATATATATATATATATATATATATATATATATATATATATATAATATTAATAACCCAAAGAAATTTTAAAAGATAACATAAACCAGCATTGTAGAAATATGGCTGACACACTATACTACCAGGTTTATAAACAATGTATTAGTTAGCGAAGTCATGTTAATATGCTTTTATTAATTAACTATAGTAAAACTCACAAATGTACAATTCATTTTCCTACATTATAATGTTAGTACACAATTAATACAAAAATAGTGCATGGATTTTACGTGTATAAAATCTCGGTAACATTAAACCATAAAACTCCAACCATGTCTCTGCATGAACTGTTTAATTCTTAGCTTCCTTCGCAGACCGCCAGTGGTTTCTTCACTAGTGCCGGCTGCAGAGAGGGAGATTACAGTAATTTACTCAAGTTTACTTGAAATATTTACTATAGGTATTTTTCAAAAAATATTTTTGATTTGGACAGTCGAGTAATGTTGATTTGAGCTAACATTGCTATATTGCATCATGGGAGGTCACAACTTCTAGAGGATCTGGCAAATCTTGTAAACAAAATGGTCCAATTCCATCATGCACTTCGAGTAACACTTGCCATGGGTTATCTGTTGTCAACATGTATTAAACAAATAACCAGTTTATAACTTGTTTTAAAGACTGAAACGATTGGTACTTAATTATGCAAATTTATCTTGCATATATATAATCGCGAAAGTCATGACATATACTTTTAACAAGATCCAGGAGAATTTCGGTGTAGCAATCGCATAATACAGCAGGGCCTGTGGAGGTGGCAGGTGGAGCTATACGATGTAAGATATCTGGTAGCTAATTTGTTAGGTAAATCCCAAAAAATATACAAGCGGTGTAAACGCCATGCAATGGGGCACCCATGTAAATATTTTTGGCAAAATAATTCGATTAAATTTAAAAGAACAACAATAAGTTGGACATCTATTAGCCTGCTCGCAGACGTTGTTATTCTTACGCCAAGCGACGAAAAACTAACGTCTGCTTACCCACTATGGCTTACCTGAGCGCCAAACTGAATTCCGCTTCGTCACCCAATCAGAATTTACCTTCCAAATTCTGGAAAGTGACGTCATTTGATTTAGGAGCATCAAATACCGAATATATTTCGCTGAAATTCGAACTTTTGACGGATGTTTATCTATATAAGACAAAAGAACTCGGAAGACAGAAAATGTTTATATAATACTGTGGCTTTGAAAGCGAAATAGTAGCTTCAAAGTAAACTAATTTGCTGTTTGAGCAAGCACTTCTGAATGTAAACTGTAAACACAACACAAACCCGAGAAACTTGTAATTGCGCCGAGATGAATTTTCCAATTCGCCCAAACTTCGAAACGTTTATACTCTAACTTGGCTACACGTTTCTAGATGACAACGAGAGCTTAATCTTTTCTCTTAATCATATAGGAAGTATATCAAGAGCAACATTTGGACATATCCTGATATACCAGAGTTTCCAGATTGATTGTTTGTTATTGTTAACAAAAATTTAAATTTCGCCTACTGCATTGCTTTTGCATTTTATATACACCGATTGTTTGCAGAACATGCGAGAAGATGATCACAATATTAGTCCACGTAAACATCGTGAAGTTCAACGCTATAGTTACCAAAATATATCCACGCAAGTAAACAAATTTCAACCCAAACAATATATTCCCATGTGATGTGCAAGGGGTTTCCCCAGTAGCTAATCGCTCAATAAGGCGGCTTCCAATTGGCTCTAACTCTTTTGAACACTGCCAGATGATTGGCTCCTAAAACAAAGGGAACTGAATGTGCAGCTCGGGTAAGCAGACATTAGTTTTTCGTCGCTTGGCGTAAGAATAACAACGTCTGCGAGCAGGCTAGGCATCTATTATACTAACTACATATAATGAACACTTTTATATTCCAAATAATGTTTCATATTCATCAATCATAGATTGGACAATAAGTTTTTGAAGTTTGATGTAATGTTGAGATTCCAAAAGACTCTTTTCTTCAGGAAGCCTCATCAGAGTGGGGCCAAAGATAATGGACAAGTTTTCTGAATTCATCATGTTATCCTTGGAAAACCTTGTAACACTGCACATAAAAATAACAAATTTTACAATGAAAAAACTAAGTAAAATTGTCAAAAGACATCAGTATTATACTGTACACAGTAGTTATTTCAAAGCGGTTGTAAACTTACATGGTTAGGTGCGAGATGATATATTTTAGAGTGGCGTAATGTGCATGAGGTAATTCCTGTAAAGCTCGGCCAATTGCTTCGATACTTTCGTGTTTCTCCAACTCTAAATAACAAAATACGATAATAAAGGTCAGTATGAATCAGGGTGTTAGCCAAAAGAAAAAAATTGGCAATTTTTGAAATTGGGGAATTCAATTAGCTCAGGAAATTCGGAGGCGAGTTAAAAAATGTGTCCACTTAGGAGACATTTCATATTGTTTTGGGTGGCATCCTCGTAACACTGATCTGGTTCCCAATTCTCCTTGAGCAAAGTTTTGAAGGTTGAGAAATCTTATATATATATATTTTTTTTCATTGATAATAGTTACGTTATTTTTGGCAGGTCTAAACAGTCTGGGAAATTCAGTGGTGGCTATAGACGTATTTGGAAAAATGGCGTATAACGGCGAATGTTTTGACTGTAGCTAAAACACCTGTCAATGACTATACAAGATTACTAGAAGAATTACTGTACTAGATTTTAACTGGCGCATGCAGTCTAAAGTGAGAGTCGATAGTGAAAAAAGAAAAATAGACGCTTGAACATTAAATTCAACACTCACGTATTGCCTCGATAAAATTATTGTACGTTTCAAACGTTATGACGGGTAATGGCAGCATACGAAGATAAAGTTTTAAAGCACCAGCTATTATGTTAATGTCGTCGAATTTTGACGGACCAATGTCAACAACGTCTCCTGAAAGAAAAAGCAAACGCACGAATTCAAAACATTATACGTATCATTAGATGAACATAACATTATTAATGGAATACCGAACGGTTTTCCGTGAAGGATAGCGTCATCGATGCACTCGGGATATTGCGAGACTTTCGGAAAGCGTAAAACACATGATCACGAGCCACATAAACGGTAAACTTTATTAAAATTATTGATAAATTGTGCAATTCTCACAACCTTCAATTCGTGAGCTAACCAATCACGGACAAAGTTCGTAAGTCGCTATCCCCACGAATGTTCTTTATACCACTTTCATAACTATAAACACGTTAAAATAGTTCTATTGTTCGAAATTTTAAAAAGCCCGCGCAAAGGCATTTAAATTTTCCCTGCAGGATTGTCTGACACTGCACGGGTATTGTCCAATCAAAATGCGTGTTTGTAGTTATTATACAAACGAATTTTCTTTTCCATAAAAAGCAAGAAAGCCCGTGCTAAAAGGTTAAACAAATGAAACAGTGATTTACCCTGTAAAGCATGTCGCTTTTTCCTTTCGAAGGCTCTTCCTTACTCGAAAAAGGGAATGGAAACTACAGTATCAGTGTTCCCAATAGGAGCCGGCACCCGGCGATTTTCGCCGTCTATAGCCTAGACAATCGCCGGTTATTTCTCGAAATTACAAACCAAAATGTTTCATCCTCATCGCAGAAATGTCAAGGGAAAGGTTTCTTGCTTTTCTAACATAAATTTTACACAATAGCCTTTGTTAAATATTTGGATAAAACGACAAAACCTCCAAAACCGAAAGGCCCATTTCCACTCAGGAAAATTTTCGGCGGAAAGAAAATTTTATAAAATGTGATTGGCCACGGAAACAAGTTTTGAAGTTGAAAATTTTCAACTTTTAACAATGACATTTTCGGGAAATTTTCTGTCCGTGGAAATTTTTCTTGACTGGAAATGGACCTCTGCAAAATGCCTGGAAATGCCATTTCGGAGGGTTTAAATTTCAGAATTTTCACAAAGAAACGCCCTCGGATCCCCTCCCCCAAGCGAGTGGTATCTTCGCCACCACATTGCCGCCCACTCCTTTCAAAATGCCTCCTACTCCAAATTCTATTGGGAACCCTGCAGAGTATACTGTAAACTAGAAAATACATGCAAAACCATTGTATTTTCCGAACATGTAGTATTTAAAGTAGTTGTCATGGTAACACGATAATTTTATTAAGAATATTTTTACAAATAAAAAATCCCCTAAAAATGTCATTTTTAATTACAAAATTATCAATTTCCCAATGTTATTATTCGTAATATAAGCTTCAATTCAACCATAAAAGCTTCGTAAAACGTTTTAAAATGTTCTTATAAAACTAAACTGCCTTTATCGATAAACTTTGAGTTTGAAATAAAATGATTTCAAATTCCAATAAAAAAGGATAATCAATCAAGATACACTGAACTGAAAATATATGCTGTCTTTTTTCATTTAAAATATACACAACGATCAGCTTTTAAAGCAATTATAAAGCAAACAATATACATATATCATTGTATCAATATTTAAAACAAACAAACCTTCATTAACGTCTCTCCCACCCAATCACGCACAGTAACCCACGCCCGCGATCATTGATGAACTTTAGACTTCGTTAATGCTTTCCTTACCCCGGGGATAAATAGCCGGGCGGAATTAGTACCCACGCCCAGGGCGCCCGCCCGCACGTGCATTCCCATAAGCTCATTAATCTTTTTTCATGTACCACATATGCAGTAATATATACAACCCCTAACCTTTGTCATATGAACTCTTTAGATTTTCGATATCATCTGCAAACCCAGATACTCTGTAAATACCTTCCGACGTCATTCCTAAAAATAACCATGTGAAATCAGTATAGTTTCAATAATTCAGGTCTTGGGCTTTGTACTCATTGTGAAGAACTAAACCAAATTTAATACACCCTATTTATTAAATACATCCTTCTGGAAAGTATGTCACCTCGGCTATACAGCCTCGTTTTCGTGATTGCAACGTTGAACTTTTATCATTTATAGACCTGGAGCGAGGGGGATTCGAGGAAATATTACCCGATATGAAATATCATAACTGAGGGTACTATTTCGACGAATCCCCCGAGCGGAGGTCTATAAATATATTATACCGAAAATTAAAAGACTCCAAGTTGAGAATTAAAAACTTGACACATACCTTCGTGAATAAGATGTTTTATTTTCAGATTAACGCAAGTGTCGTCGCTTTTCTTTCGAATAACATATCGTTCGGAATATTAATAACAACATTTTTCAAAATTTGTTTCAAAATTTTGAAACCCCCCAGGTTTTACATTTAAAATTTAATTATACATCACTCAATTATACTATTTCTATTTTGTCGGCCATCTTGTTGTCATGCGTGTTGTCTCGCGTGGTCTACACGAACAGGGAACATGGTGTGGAACATTGTCAAAAGGAACGAAGGCTCGCTAAATGATACGTAAGGCGTGATAACCATAGGTGATATCGCGATTAATTTCATGCTCACGTGTCACAAACTGAGTTTTCTGATTGGATAATTTGAAGTTGAGGTATAATATTAACTAATGTCACATGCACAAAAGCGAAGTTCTATGGCCAAGGTGACGTACAGTACTTGACGTCTGAAGAAAGGTATTAATCTTATTAGGCAGTACTTTGAGTACTAGGTAACAAAAATGTAAAATATTCAATAAACTGTAAAACAAACAGGAAAATGTAAAACATACAAGAGAATGTAAAATAATTAAACACGAAAATTGAAAGTACCTCTCTTTTCAACTTCTCTGACACATTCTTCCAGAATAGTAGGAAGTTTTGTATTGTGTGCTTTAACAAGAGTCGTCAAGTCCACACCAAAAACTAATTAAAAAGAAATGATACCTAATAAACAAATGCATACGTTGTCGGTTTTTTTCCTACAGGGAATAACCCTGTTGTACTTTCATTGTTTGGATTTGTGCTGGGCTTTGAAGTTAGCGTTTTAGCCATGCTGTAATACGTACGTACTGTAAAGTACAAGTATCAACTGCTGTTTTTACTGTCGATTTCAAGTCACTTTTCAACGCGCGGTTCGCAAGTTTGTGGCGAACTTGCCAATTACATTTCCAAGTTCGGAAATTGGGCGCGAACTTCGCAACAAAGTTCGCAAGTACATTTCAATGTTTGAACTATTGTAAACAAATGTTATAAAATAACATGTATATAACGCGTATTCTGATTGGTCGAAAGCCGTGTTTGGATCAGGCCATCCAAACACGGAACACGGAAACCATAAAGTAATTGTATATTCATAGTTCAAGTTGAAATTACCAATTCAATGGAAAGTTTTTGGTCCAGTGGGCTACCAAGAAGGTTTGTATTTCATTGAATTGGTTATTATTATTGAGTATGAACATTTGTTTACAAACGAAGTTCAAACATTGAAATGAACTTGCGAACTTTGTTGCGAAGATCGCGCTCAATTTCCGAACTTGGAAATGTAATTGGCAAGTTCGCAACGAACTTGGGAACCACGAGTTGAAAAGTGACTTGAAATCGACAATAAGCCGCCCACCAGGCGAGGAGCCTGAAGACTTGTACATTAATGTCTATTACATGCACAGCTCTTAAAAAAAACTATTTTGTATAGAAAACAAGTAAAAATCAACCTTTTACCTCGTTTCACTAATTTTTTGTGCGGTTGACAATTTTTTGTGTGGTTCTTTTCCTTTATACTCGCAACACATTGTTTGTGTGCGTTAAGCCCGCAATCTAAAATGAAATTTCGAAAACAAAATTAATGCTATTTATTAAATTTCAGAATTGTCGGATTGTTGTTCTCAACAAAATTACCTTGACATTTGTGTCCTTGTTGCTTTAAACCCCATAAGAAATTTTTACAATAATCACACCAATAGAAACCTTTATACGTATGAACCTTAAAAGGAAAAAAATATTTAAAATTTATATAATAGAATAATTTAAGCTCTAACTGGTTCTTATACCGATTTAGTGTAAGTGCAACGACTCACACGAAATTAGTAGACAATTTGCGACTTCGATATTTATCAGACTACTAGAAAATACATGCATGCAGCAACCCCTCGCCTTTCTTAACAGATGAATTATAAAAACTCCACATAAAGTATTAAGACCATTATAAACAAACATAAAAACACAACTAATACGCTAGCTTAAAAATGATAACATTCCCTGCAATTTCATGTATACCAGTTTGCATTAAAACACATTATTTATTGTGAATGGCTTAATTAAAAATTTCGCACAAAGCAAGTACGGAATGGAACTTTAGTACTGAATGTTTACACTCAGGCCTGTTTTATACGTCGAATTAGATTTTTTTACGAAATTTAAAACAAAAAAAAATTGCTGTAAAACAGCACAATACGTTCTTTCAAAATGAAAAACAATTATTTAGTCAGAGCTTATACGCACGCATGCGCATAACGTCGAAAACCGTCCATGACATAAACAAAATGGAAGACAACTTTGAACTTCGCTATGTTTTCACATACCCGGGTATAATTAGCCGTGAGGAATTAGTACCCTCGGCCCGGGCTCACGCCCGGAACGGCGCTGCGCGCCGTTGGCTCGGGGACAAGCTCCGAGTGTTAAGAGTAACCAAACTGAGAGATGAAAATTGATAAAATCTATGCAATGAAAAAGCAGAAAATGTCAACACAATTCTAGAAATTCAAAAAATACCATAAAATATTCTGTGGAGTCATGCAATAATAATTTTCGTACAAATTTTACCAAACAGTGCCTATTTTCTAATTTTTACATGTTGTTGTCACTTTTACAGTACACTTGGCCCAAGTATTCTCGTCAATTTCAAAGCAGGGTTCCCAATAGAAGCCGGCACCCGGCGATTTTCGCCGTCTATAGCCTAGACAATCGCCGGTTATTTTTATTTTTATTTATTATTATTATTATTATTATTCAATGAAGTATTCCCGGAGAGGGTTTTTCAATACCTATTTACAGAACTAATAGTTATATTAAAATTCCTATTTATAGCGTTTATTTAAAATCTATTTGTCTATGAGATTCTATTTGTCTATGAAATCATTTATTTAAAATCTATTTGTCTATTAAAGTCTATTTGTCTATTATTTAAAATGTATTTGTCTATTAAAGTCTATTTGTCTATGAGTCTATTTGTCTATTAAAGTCTATTTGTCTATTAAAATCTATTTGTCTAATGAAGTCTATTTGTCTATTATTTAAAATCTATTTGTCTATTAAAGTCTATTTGTCTATGAGATCATTTATTTAAAATCCATTAAATCTATAATATCAGAAAATGTAATTAATTGTTGTTTAGCATCTTCTGCTTTAACTCGGTTTTAAAACTTTTCCGGTCGATCCACGGTAAATTTTTTTAGGTTTTCATTCAAGTCATTCCATAACTTTACCGCTCTGTAATAAAAGGTTCTTTGTTCTGAAACTGTTTTGTGTCGAGGGATGTGTAGCGCTTTATTATTCCTTGTATTTAGATCGTGGATTTCATTTCTTTTTATAAATAATTTGGATAGGTAAGGTGGTGTTAATCCGTTCATACATTTGTATGTTATTAGTTGTTCTAATAGTTGTATTAGTGTTCCTCTACAGGAAGCCAGCGAATTGCCCGTAGTGCTGGTGTTACATGATCATATCTTCCCGTATTTAGTGTCAATATCCTACAAGCAAAATGCTGTACTGCTCTCAATTTCTTTATATTTGTTGCAGAAGTGTTTGACCATACTGTAGAGCAATAATAAAGTTTGCTCATTACTAAAGCATTGATAATTAAGCGAAGACTATCCCTATCAAAGCTATCCTTTACTCTGTTTATCTGACATAGCTTGGCCATACAAGATGATACAACATTTTTGATATGGTAATCGTGTCTAGGGTTAATCCCAGGTCTTTGGCATTTGTGGTTGGTCTAATCTCTTCTCCAAGAAATGTAATTGTCGTCTCCTCAAGGAGCTTACCGAGCAGTTGCAGAGTTCCTATCAAGAGTAACTTTGTCTTCTCGGGGTTTATCAACAGTTTATTTTCGAAAAACCAAGTTGCGACCAATTTGAGGTCCTCTTCTATCTTTGTTTTTGCACTAGCAATATCTTCAATTGGAAATGACATAAATATCTTAGAATTGTCGACGAATGATTCCAACTCAGATGCTTGTAGTACTCTTGAGAGGTTATTTATATAGATGCAGAACAATAGCGGTGACAATATTGCTCCCTGAGCCACTCCGTGGGTGATTGGTAAAACTTCGGATACCGAGGAGCCAATGCGAACGAACTGCTTTCTATCTGTAATGTAGCTTTCAAACCAATTAAGGGCTTCACCTGAAACCCCAATATTGCTTAGTTTCTTTAACAGGATTTAATGGTCCCCGCTGTCAAACGCTTTTGAGAGGTCCAAAAGGACTAGAGCAGTAAGCTTTTTGTTGTCCATCGATTTTAGCAAAAAATCGTTGACTAATATACTGAGTGTTTCGGTTGAATGATACTTTTTGTTTCCACTTTGTTGGGAGGATAGGCGGTCAGTGCCGTTAAGAAAACCGCTAAATTGATTTAGGGCAACTTTTTCGCAGATCTTTGATAGTACTTTAAGCATTGAAAGTGGGCGGTTATTTGCAGCAACTTCATGATCACCTTCCTTTAAGAGTGGTATAATTTCTGCTATTTTCCAGGACTCAGGGAACGCTGAGGTGGTAAATGAGTTACCGTAAACCTCCGACTATAAGCCCTGGGCTTATACTCTTTCGTAAGCGATTTTTGATGGGCTTATACAAGGGTGGGCTTATATACGGGGGGGGGGGGCTTATACATAGACGATCTTTTGTGTTAGTGTAATAGTGATAAGCA